CAACAAGAAATCCATACCAACAACACTATAATGACAATAAATCATAGGGAATCAATGATAGATATCATAGCTCAACACCAAAACACAGAAGAACAAGGCATTTCTCAGGAACAATATCAAGAATATACTCAGGGATTTCCAAGAGCATCAAGAATATTTATCTAAGTTGGAAATAGGTTTTGATGAACATGGAATTTACCTTTTAAGCTTATCAACCAATCCTCAAACACCAAGCATCAACCTAGCAACTTATCTCCATCTTGAACCTCTAGGATTCCCAAAACCCTAATGTAGGAAAAATAAGAACATGAAATAAAGGCTATGAAATGAGAAGGGAAAATGCAAGGTGAATCTTACTTTATTTTGTTGGAAAGATGAATAAAAGAGTAATCTTGGTGGAGTTTTCTTTGTAGAAGATGAAGGAGATTTTCTTGTATTTTGGGGAGGAAATGGCGTGGGAAATGAGTATGGTGGAGTAGAGAGGAAGACAAAGTGTAAGGATATTATTTGTAGGGATTGTTATGACAAAAACATTAGATACAAGATGGTGTATATATTAGGGTGAAGATGTAGCTATAAGAATAGGTTATATCTTGCAACACATGGGTTATTTATTTCAGAGCATGGGCTAATGCCATACAAATTGGGCTAGAAGATATATATATATATATATATATATATATATATATATATATATATATATATATATATATTAATAAGTAGAACTAAAGTTAAGGTCCAAAGGTATTTTAGTCTTAGGAAATTGGGCTTTAAATAAATTCATATGAGTTAGGGATTTAATTACACTAGAAAAATTGGGCTAATTTGAAAGACTACATCCTTTACAAAATTAGTTAGGAAGAATAATTATAGAATATTAAATAAAGGGTGTCACACAGAGCTAGCACAAAAACGATCTAAACAGCATCTCATCTCTACGGCTTGCTCCATTGTTGCCTCCCCAAAAAGCACCAAGTCATCTGTGAAGAATAAATGTGTAACGTAAGGACCTTGTCTTGAGATCTTAATACCTTTCCAACGTCCATTGTTGACAGACTCCTGTATAACATGACTTAATCTCTCAATACATAAAACAAAGAGTAAAGGGGAAATAGAGTCTCCCTATCGAATCCCCCTTCCCGGTCTAAACCAGTCCGTCTTTTTTCGCAGTTTCATCGCAACCACCATTGTAACACTGATCTGAAGACGGATCGGAGGGAGGCGGACAGTAACACATATCTGAATACGGACCGGAGGAGGCGGGCGGCTGCACTCTTTGTAACTTCCATGGTAACATAGATCTAAAGACGGACGACAGATTAGAGAGAGGCAGGCGGCTGCACTCATCGCAATCACCGTCACTGCGTCGATAGAGGCGAGAGGCAGACGATGGCTTCGATCTTTGTTGCCGGTTTCCATAGTGAAATGGCGGGAGGGGCAGCAAAGGCTTCTCCGTCGACACACACGCATTTGTCATCGGACAGGAAGAAAGGTTTACTTGTAATGCTACCGCTGCAATTGATCTCCATCTGGATTCAACGCTACAATTTTTTTTAAGAGATACAACGTCGATTTTTGTATCTTTAATTTTTGTTTTTATATAAAACCGACGTTGTATCTTTATATTTTTTTTAAAGAGATACGACGTCAATTTTTCAAAAAAACCGATGTGGTATCTATTTATTAAAAAAAGTAAAAGGGGATACGGTGTCGGTTCTTTTAAAAAACCGACGTTGTATCGTAATTTGTTTTAAAAAATGACATACGAGCGTATCATTTATTTACTACATTGTCGAGAACAACGTCGCAAAATAACCAACTTTGTATGTAAAAAATAATGGTGTTAAAAGTGTTTTCTGTAGTAGTGTAAGTATTTAAATGTTATGTGTTACTATTAGGTGCGTGGAATGCAGGACATTAATTTGACATCGCACAATGCATTGGTCAAGGGCTCAGGGGAAATTGAGGTGTTGCACCATATCTACAATGTTAGTCAATATCAGTTATGAAGATTAGAATAAGATTATGTATTGGATGTGCCTGATGAGGAATACTATGATAGTAGTGAATGAATCTTTAACTGGCACATAGTGACACACGATATCCTTCGGTCTTGTGAGTGAACAAATCTTGAATTCTTAGGCAAGAGGTTTAAACTAAAGTGACATGCATCACACCTTTAATCTTGTGTAAGTTCCACGATAAGCTACATATTGTTGGTCCCAAAGGGCTGGGTTACAAATCTAGAGGGAGGTGAATACACTTGTATGGACTTTAAAATATTTTCTATTCCGATGTTCCAAATTAAAGATGAACTTTAATTAAAAAACTTTTCGTAAAGGATTTCGCAGTGGAAAACGTGAGCCCTTTTAAATATTAAGCACAAATTGTAGTCTTAATAAATTTTAGGTTTGATGGTATTATGAGCTCGAAAATAAATGCTCGTACAATAAAGAGGGAGGGAGGGAGGGAGAGAGAGAGATCCTTATTATATTTTGTGGTTAAAACTAATTCAATTTAATCCTTATTGTATTTTGATTGTGTTGTATAATCATATGAAAACAGGAAGAATGAATACAGAGAATGGAGAGGTAAGGCCAATCCTTTCATTCATCTCCACACCATGATATAAGGTGTGTCCATTACAAAGGATATAAATATACATAATGAGCAATCAAAGCATCCGTTACATCCGTTACAAATGATGTCCACTAAATATGTTTATAACACTCCCCCTTGAACATTATTTGTCCACAATCTTGCTTCGATAAAACTTGCTAGGAAAACCCTGTGGAAAAAACATAGACAAGAAAAAGTACAATAGAAAATATATTCATGCCTCATTAAAAACTTCACTAGGAAAACCACGTGGGAAAAAACCTAGTTGAAGAAAAGAGTACATGATATATGTAAAAACATATATTGTATTGGTCGCCTCATTAAAAACCTTAACTTAAGAAAACCCTGTGGGAAAAACTTAGCTAAGGGAAAAAGAGTACAACCATAAGCCTTCAGGCCACAATCGGCATAATCTTCAGGATTTTGGGGTTTGTCTACTTAAGCAATTATTTTGCAACTTTTCCCCATTTACATTCACATATCATACTCATGCCTCGTTAAAAACCTCATTAGGAAAACCGCGTGGGAAAAACCTAATTGAGGAAAATAGTGCATGATGTATGTGTATTCTTGTTTTAGCTTTCTCATTAAAAACCTTAAGCTAAGGAAACACAGTAGGGAAAAAGCTTAGCCAAAGAAAAGAGTACAATCATTAGTTGTCAAGACCCAATCTTCAGAATTTTACATTCAATCTTCCGGATTGATTCGAGTAAATGTACTTCTCGTCTCCCCCTGAAGATAACAATCTTCAAGTTCTACATATATTTTAAAAATTTGAAGAAAATGGATTGGGCAAATCTTCTAGATTGTCACTAGAGTAAATATCTAATAATCTTATGGCTCTTCTAGAGCTCATATAACATTTGTGAAATACAAGTGTTATTGTCCTCATTTTGAACATTTAGGGAAATTCATTGTATAACCAGTTTGGACTTGGCATTGCGGGGATCAAACAAAACTGCCAGTACCCAAGTAGCCTATTAAAACCGTATCATGGTTTCTTACATAAATGTCATGTCTTTGTATCTCGAAGATACCGGAGTATATGTTAATCATTATTCAAGTACTTCATTTGTAGGGGGAGCACTAGATTTTGCTAGCAATTTCATCGCAAATATGTTGCGATTATGGAACTTCTGGTTCTACAATGGTGTTCCAACGATAATGAAGTAAGGGACTTCGAGTCCAAAAAGGTTCCTTATCTGCTTCAAGAGATTATTTAGGCAACCTTTAGTTTGATAAAAACATGACACTTATATGCATATAGGCTGACTGGTGTATATAAAAAAATCTTCAAAGAAAAACTCGATCTTCAAGTCGAGATAATACTTATAGCTTTCACAAGCTTTTTATTTCAAAAGTCTCAGTCTTTAAACATGAACTGACATTATCAAGCTCTTTATATATTTCATTGATGTTTACACCATCAATCTTGACTGAGATAATAAATAATAAATAAGTTCATTATCAATCTTTTATCGAGCACACAATGGTACATATTATTCCTTCAATGAGGATATTAACTCCATTCGCAACCCTTTAAAGAGTAAATAATGACACATAATAATACTTAAATAATCCAGATTTCGAGAATTATGAATCCATCCAGGATTTCTCAAAATAAATTTAACTGCAAATCTAAATTTATTATTCTGCCAATTGTATTATGTAGCGGAACTTAATGCCATTTACCGTGGGAGAGTATATTTGATTAAAATCAATTAAGGGTCTCTGCATGAACCCATAGGCTACAAACTCGCTTCATCACCTCATTATTCTTATTTCTCTTTCATGCACACACCCATATGTAACCTTCAGGGTTAACGCTCAAATGATGTATTATTATAAAGAGAATTATCCATTTTAGCGAGTCGAACTATGCCTTAATTTGCTCCTTTATACGTTAAATAGTCATGGCACTTCCGGTGCCTAACTCTGGATGCAGATTATTATCATATAACGGAGCAATTTGTAATGGCAATTGTGTTGTCGACAACTATAACCTTTTTATAAATGTCTCCCGTATTTGTAAAAGTAATGGCAATTTCTAAAACAACCAGATTCTATACATTTCCCAAAGATATTTTGATCTGGTCATTCCGCATCCCTAATATTGTGTTTGTTTGGTGCACCTATAAATTGACTAAGGTTTCTCGTTGTTAGTGATATTATATTCTTAGTATAATAATGTGTAGTATTATTCTTGTACATATAGGATTGATTTAGTCTTATAGTCTGCACCTATTGTGTAGGGTTAGTTAGATAGTTATTCTATCCCTTTTGTATCTCTGTAACTGTCTGAGTTTGAATCAACGTGAAACATTCACTCATCTGGTATCAGCTAGCCAGGTTGGATTTTTCTCTCTCCTCTCCCCAAAACAATGTCGACGAATTCCAGCGAACGAACTGTCACCGCCGCCACCCTTTCCACTCCGGCCACCCCGAACACCCTATCCACGGCACATCACTTTGTGTCGATGAAACTCACCACGAAAAACTACCTCTTCTGGCGCACTCAATTGGTGCCTTTCTTGCGTGGACAAGGGCTGCTCGGATTTGTCACCGGTGACACGCCGTGTCCTCCGGCGACAGTGATTCCTCCGGCGACCAGTGACGCCGGCTCTGGTGGCACGACATCCACGACCGTCGCCAATCCAGCGCACGCCTTGTGGGAGCAGCAAGACCAATCCATCCTTTCGTTATTAATATCCTCCATGTCCGATGAGGTGCTCTACCTTGCCGTCGGACGTGGAACATCGCATGAAGTCTGGACGTCCATCACCGCGGCATTAGGCTCGTCTACACGGGCAAGGTGCCTGAATCTTTTGGCGCAGTTCCAATCCTTGCGTCAAGGCAATAGCACACCTGGTGAGTACCTCGGCAGAGCCCAATTGCTCGTAGAGGACCTGGCTCTCGCTGGCAGACCTGTATCCTTGGATGAACAAAATCTTTATGTTTTCCGAGGGCTCAGGCCGGAGTTCAGGTCCATGGCGTCGTCGCTTGCTGCATCGGGCGCTCCAATCTCCATCCCGCAGTTGTCGGACTTCCTTCAAGCCCAAGAATTCATCTGGGCGGATGACTTCTCGATGCCATCCGGCGTTCCGGCAGGCGGATCGCACACTGCCATGGTCGCCGGCCGTAGTTCCAATCACCACAGTGGTGGTCCTCGACGTGGCGGTTCCGGTCGAGGTCGCGACGGGAATGGCAGAGGACGCGGTGGCAATGGCAGAGGACGCGGTGGTGTTTCCCGCTGTCAGATATGTCGATCCCAAGGGCATACAGCCGTTTATTGCTACCAGCGATACACTGGGTAGCCACCAGCACAGGTTCACGCTGCTGTCTCCGCTGATGATGGATCGGCTCCGCAAGACGCGTGGTTCCCGGACACCGGGGCCTCGTCGCACGCTACCCCTGACTCGTCGATGATGACACAGTCCGAACCGTATTCCGGCAATGACGTGTTGCGTGTGGGTAATGGTTCTGGATTGGGTATTTTAAATATAGGCCATGCATCGTTAAAATCTGAGTCTAAATGTTTAAAGTTACACAATATTCTACACGTGCCTGATTTGTCATTATCATTATTATCTGTCAATAGGTTTACCATTGACAATAACGTATTTTTTGAATTTCACCGTGATCATTTTCTTGTGAAGGACTGTCAAACCAAGGCGGTGCTCCTTAGGGGTCCTACCACGGGGGGCTTATATCGGTTGTCACTGTCTCGGTCACCTGTTGCTTTAATAACGGCTCGTGCTACATCAGATGTCTGGCATCGTAGGCTCGGGCATCCACATGAGCGGGCTCAAATTCGTGTCTTACAAAAGTGTCCGGTCACTCCAACAAAATCAAGTGGCCTGCGGGTGTGTTCGTCATGTCAACTTGGGAAATCCTCTCGATTCCCATTAGATAGAGTTGCTTCCCGTAGTAATAATGTACTAGACGTGATATACACTGATATATGGGGACCGGCACCCGTTGTTTCTGCCGGGGGTTTTAGATACTTCGTTTTGTTTGTAGATGATCGATCTCGGTTTTGCTGGTTTTACCCTATGCGGTTAAAATCAGACATTTATAAAATATTTGAGTCTTTCCGTGTCATGGTAGAACGCCAATTTTCGCGTTCTATCAAGTCGATCCAGTCTGATCTGGGGGGCGAATACCGCCGTCTACATACAGTCTTTGAGTCTCTTGGAATCGTGCATAGGCAGTCTTGTGCCTACACACATGAGCAGAACGGACGAGTAGAGCGCCGGAACAGACATGTTGTTGAAACCGGGCTAGCGCTACTCGCAGAAAGCTCAGTCCCTTTAAAATATTGGGACTGCGCGTTTGAAACTGCTTCATATCTTATTAATTGTCTACCCTCGTCTGCACTAAAACACGTCAGTCCCTACGAGTCTATCTACAACAAAACACCACCATACACCTTTTTCTGAGTCTTTGGGTGTAGATGCTATCCCTATCTACGGCCTTATAATCGCCACAAGATAGAATACCGCTCTGCACCCTGCATCTTCCTAGGATACCCCACGTCCTATAGAGGTTATCGATGCATGGACCTAGTATCGGGAAAAACGTTCATCTGTCGCCATGTCCGGTTTGATGAAAGTGTTTTCCCATTTGCAACAGGAACACAGAATACAACCACAACACAAAAGCCGTGTGATGCTCCGCCGTGGGCGTCCGGACCTATAGTCCCATATGAACAGCCCACGGCACCGTTGAATGAACCACCCTTGGCAGTACAGGTTCCGCCTATGGCTATCCAAGATCAACCCGGGCCGGCGACTGTTCCAAATCACGGACCACGGCCACGAAAACGGGTTCGGGCACAACCCCAAGAACGGGGCCATGTTATGCGCCTTCGCCATCAAACACAGGGAACGGATGAGCCCTTTCAGGCTCTCACGGCCACCGTAGATCCTACATGCTATAGCCAAGCTGTTGGCCATCCACAGTGGAGGGATGCCATGGACCAGGAGTTTAATGCACTCCTGCACAACAATACTTGGTGTCTCACTCCGGCCAAGCCCGGTATGAATGTTGTTGGGTGTAAATGGGTCTACCGCACTAAACGGAAGGCTGATGGCACTATAGAACGTCATAAGGCCCGCTTGGTTGCCAAAGGCTTCAATCAAGTATCCGGCGAAGACTTCTTTGAGACTTTTAGTCCGGTTGTCAAGCCAACTACTGTCCGCATTCTGCTGTCCTTAGCCGTGTCCCGAGGATGGACTCTGCGACAACTTGATGTTCATAACGCTTTCCTAAACGGGCATCTCACAGAAACCATTTATATGCGTCAGCCGCCTGGTTATGAAGATTCGGTACACCCTGATTATGTTTGTCATCTGCAGCGGTCCTTGTATGGACTCAAACAAGCCCCACGAGCCTGGTTTAATCGGCTCTTTGATTATCTCTTGACGTCGGGTTTTGTGGCTTCCAAAACTGATGTTTCCCTATTTTATTACACATTGAATAACTCACGCATTTATCTCCTGGTGTATGTAGACGACATTATCATGATGGGCAACGATCCAGGCTTACTTGATGATCTGCTCCGTCGTCTCTCTTCCACTTTTAAGATTCGTGACTTGGGCAGTCCCACATTCTTCCTCGGTATTGAGACCATCCCGTATGAGGGTGGCATTTTACTGTCCCAACGTCGATACATGGATGATATTCTTACTCGCGCAGGCATGTTGGACTGCAAGCCTTTATCCACACCGGCAGCGATAACAAAGTCTGCGACACCATCTGCAGACCCGTATGAGAATCCCACACAGTATCGACGGCTTACTGGAGCACTACAGTACCTCACCATCACTCGCCCGGATCTCTCTTACGCGGTAAATAGGCTCTGTCAGTTCATGCACACTCCGACTGATGAGCACTGGGCCATGCTTAAGCGTGTTCTCCGCTATGTGAAGGGTACCTTGACATATGGTTTGCGGTTGTCCCCTTCACCTTCCTTTGATGTGCACGCTTTTTCGGATTCCGATTGGGCCGGGTGCCCCGTAGACAGGAAGTCAACCTCCGGATATGCGGTGTTCCTGGGTACCAACCTCGTCTCTTGGGTTTCTCGCAAACAGCGGACTGTGGCCAGATCGTCTACTGAGGCTGAGTACAAAGGTCTGGCTGATGTTGCTGCTGAAGTTACTTGGGTAATGTCGCTTCTTCGGGAACTCGGGCTACACTCGGGTAACCCCGCGACGTTATGGTGCGACAACTTAGGGGCTACTTACATGTGTGCCAACCCCGTGTTTCATGCCTGAACTAAGCACGTGGAAATTGACTACCACTTCGTTCGGGACAAGGTCGCTACAGGGGAGTTCCTAGTCAACTTCGTCTCCACGAAGGACCAGTTTGCTGACATCTTCACCAAGCCCCTACCTACTGCACGCTTCAGCTCTTTAAGGGACAAGCTCAACGTTGTGTCTACACCACCGTCAGCTTGAGGGGGTGTGTTAGTGATATTATATTCTTAGTATAATAATGTGTAGTATTATTCTTGTACATATAGGATTGATTTAGTCTTATAGTCTGCACCTATTGTGTAGGGTTAGTTAGATAGTTATTCTATCCCTTTTGTATCTCTGTAACTGTCTGAGTTTGAATCAACGTGAAACATTCACTCATCCTCGTCATCTGGACGAGCGTCTTCAGGACTAAACTATTCAATGCTATTTCAAGAGTGACAATATTTTTATACTAGATCTAGTATAATGATTCTTATTTCTTACACCGATGGATCTCCTATACTTCTGGTATCAAGGAGTATCGATATATTTGGTCCAAGTTGGGGGAGGTATATGGGACCTAGTCACTCTTTTATGATCAGTATGATCAATATATGTATTTGGCAGATTATTTGCTAATATCGCAAATAGATTATCTTTTGCACTTCCAGTTCAGTCTAACTAGTACATGAATTTAAATAATGAAGATATTTTCATTCTATGAAATTTCTTGGAATTCTATTAAATTTGAACTCTTATCTCCCCCTAATGCCGAGAAGCAATCTTCATTAATTAAGTATGCAGTCAGCGTACCTAAGGATATGCACTGGTCTCTTATCATGTGCTCTTGGTATTAGCTAATCAAGAGACAGAGGCTTCTTTGGTAGCCTTTTTAGAGGTACGCTATGGTGGTGATATATTTGAAATAGACTGCGCACTATAAATAATAACGCAGATAGGTAAATGTTTATTTTGAAACCATGTACTAGGCATAACAATCCTTGAGGGATTGGTTTGTGATATGCAGTGAGTTAGATTTGGATTTAAAACAAAAGTATATCCCCAAAACAGATAATTCAGTAATTTTTCCTTCACACATGCTCTATAAAGTACTCATGTGGATAAGAAAATGTAATATCTAACTCATTATGTTGCCCTAAGAGACCCAATTGGTCATGCCATAATTAAAAAAAAATGGGTCTCTACAAATGTAAAGATTATCACAACATAATGAGTTGTCAAATGTATATGAAATTCACCACAAGTGACATATAAAATCAGATACGGCAAGCATACACATTGAACAAAATGATTGAAACATTCGACAATCTTAGGGAGATTAAACGCCAAATATTAGCAATTTATTTGCTTCAAGCAAACCAACATGGTGTGACTCACTTTTAGCTGTTAAGCACATAACATTTTTGCATAGTAGCATTGCATTAAAAATATAAGTTGCAGACTTCATTCACGAGTCATGAGTCATTAGTCATTCAAAGATCAATTCATATTCAGAATCTTTCAGACCTTTTTTTAAAAAATAGCCCAATGACCAAACACATTGTCAAGTAGGGAAGATTCAAAACTTAGAGAGTATGTTCTCGCAAAAGGAAACTAAGTTTTTGATATCTTTCAACAAAAAAAAAAAAAATCAATGACATTCAAAACACTTGGTGTAATTTGTTATGTACTACTACTAGAGTACAATGTGGCTATCATAAATGTCATGCAAGATAACGAGTGACAGATAAATTAACATTCTTAGTTTGCCTTCTGCGCAAAACTATATTAAAAAGAATTAGGTACTATCCTTTTGTATAAATACTTAAATTTGGTATTTATTTCAATGTCAAAGATTCATGTGAAACATTAATGCTATAATAAATTAGCGCAACCAATAAACTTGAATCCTTTATATAATAAAGCTATATGGTTTGGGAAATAATTAATGTTACAATTAATGTCACAACATCCTTTATTATAATAAAAAAAAAAGCACAACATTTAAAAAATAAAATAGCTATATATTATATAATCATATAAAAAATATACTTTTGAAAAATAAAATAGCTATA